GGTTTTAATGGATTTGCCAATCGAAGTTGAGATTTATGGTAACGAAGGCCTATATGAAGCTCGGTAATTCTTTTAGTTGTGTGTTTCCTAGCAATCAACTTACCGCTTTGGTGATTCTAGTCCCGTTCTCGGTGGTGTGCAAGCTTTTTTCACCGCGAACAATGTTCAAAACTTCTAGCCTTAATTCAACCCCAATCACGACTGCTGTGTCTATCGATGTCAATGCCTTGTCTAAGCAACTTCACTTTCTTGACGTGTACTTATAATTCCTTTTGTGGTTTTGTGATTTCTAATCCAACTCGTGGATATTAGATACCGGTGCCACATACCACATTGTTTGCTTCTTAGAATTTTTTTATGAATACAATCCAATTTCTCATATCTTTGTCAAGTTACCTAATGGTCAACAAATAGTAGTTACACATGTTGGATTAGTTCAACTGTCCGATGCACTTATCTTACACAATGCTCCTTTTGTTCCTAGTTTTTCCTTTAATCTTATCTCGATGAGTCAACTAAACAAAAACTCCGGATGCTCTTTGTTCTTTTATTCCGATTCTCGTGTTATACGAGACCATCAATCGAAGAGGATGATTGGTACAAATTGAGCGTAAACAAGGCTTCGTATCGATTGATAACTCCACTCTACTTAAATGCTTATCATACTTCGCTTCAAATACCATTGCTCATGATTTTTTTGATGTATGGCATTCTAGACTAGGTCACCCTTCAAATTCCAAATTACATGCTTTACATTCTCTTTATAAAGATGTACCTACCGACATCTCTTATCCACAATGTGATATTTGTCATTATGCAAAGCAAAAACGTCCTCCTTTTCCCATTAATTTCTCTTTTGTTTTTCTACAAAGTGTTTTGAACTTGTCCATGTAAATATTTAAGGTCCTATGACAACTCCTTCTTTATCCGATTATCAATACTTCCTTACTATTGTTGATGATTATAGTCGACCTACCTAGGTTTTTTTTATGAAACACAAATCCGACATAAGAAAGCTCATTAAGAATTATTATACTCTTGTTGAAACTCGGCTTTTTATCAAGATTCTAACCTTCGGAATAGATAATGGCCAAGAATTCAATATGCCCTCTTTATTTTCTTCAAAAAGCATTCTCCATCAAACCTCCCGTGTCAAAACACCCCAACGAAACAAGATATTGCTGAGAGAAAACATCAACACACACTCGACGATTGCTAGTGGCTCTTAGGTTTCGTGCTAATCTTCCGTTTATTTTTGGGCGCATTGCATTTTTCATGTCGTTTACTTAATCAATAAAATTCCTACACATGTATTGAATAATAAAACACCTTTTGAGCTTTTGTTTGAAAAAATTCCCACTTATAACAATCTTAAGGTCTTCTACTGTCTCTCGTTTTGCATTTAATCTTACCTCGAAGGCTAAGTTTGATTCAAGAGCTTCCAAATGCATTTTCTTGGGTTTTTCCACTCGGCACAAAAGGCTATAAACTTTATAATCTATATAATGGCAAGTATCACGATGTGTCTAGAGATGTCATTTTCTATGAGCACATCTTTTCTTTTGCTTGTTTGTCTCAACATTCTCCATCCTCTCCTAATTTTGTGCTTCCAAACACCTTTCCGGAGACTCGCACGGACAGTCCCTCTACATTTCCTTTGACGAGACACCGCCAAACCTTCAACCGATTCACCCACCTCACCTATTTCCATCCCTTTTTCCAACAATGCTTCTTCGAATCATTTCCCACTCCTCCCGTACGATCCACACAATCCAAAACTCCTCCTACATATCTTCAAGATTATCATTATGCATTACACAATCAATCGACTCAAGTTTTATCTTTTGCTGGTCGTGCTTTTTTTCCTCCCACAGGTTATACTCCTCACTTTTTATCTTTAATGTTATCCTATTCTAAATGTTCATTACCTCATAAACTCTTTAGTGTCGGTATCTCTACCGCCATAAAACCTAATACTTACCATCAAGTAGTTAAGTTTGATTGCTGAAAAATAGTTATGAATGAAAAAATTAAGGCTATGCAAGACAATCATACTTGGGAACTCACTGATCCGCTCTGCTAATAAGCAAAGTATAGGGTGTAAATGGGTGTATAAGATCAAGTATAAGGTTGATGGGTCCCTAGAAAGGTACAAAACCTATCTCGGTTGCTAAGGGATACACACAAGCAAGTGTGGATTACCTATATACTTTTTCTCCAAGTAGCCAAGATGACTACAATCGAACTTTGTTAGCAATTGCAGCTATTAACGATTGGTACTTACAACGAATTGGACATTAATAATGCATTTCTTCATAGAGACTTAGAAGAAAAAGTGTATATGGATTTGCCTTTGGGATTTCGCAGTCCAAAACCAAACCAAGTTTATAGGTTGTTAAAGTCTATCTATGGCCTCAAGCAGGCCGGTAGGCAATGGTATGCGAAGTTATCTACCGCTCTCCTTACCTAACATTTTGTTCATAGTGCTTCGATCCCTTTCTCTTTATCAAATACACATCTTCTTCCTTCATTGCTTTACTCATCTATGTTGATGATGTTATTTTAGTCATCAATGATATGGAAGAAATAGGAGCAAGAAAGGCCTTTTTACATGATACATTCAAAATCAAGGATTTGGGTAAGTCAAGTTCTTCTTAGGCCTTAAGGTTGCACGATCTTCTCATGGGATCAGCTTATGTCAAAGGAAATATGCCCTAGAATTATTGCAAGATGCATGTTTTATTGGTGTCAAACCTACAAAATCGTCTATGTTAGCTACTCGTCAAGTTAAGTGTCGAAGATAACACTCTTCTTCCCGATACTTCGCCTACGTAAAGTTGGTTGGCTACTTACTCTATCTCACAAACACTAGACTAAACCTCTCCTATGTAGTCCGACAATTAAGTCGGTTTCGAACGTACCAACCCCAAGCTCACCTTATAACGAAGCATATAGGTACTTCGATACATCAAAGGTGCTCCCGGCCAAGGTCTATTTTTTGCTTCAAACAATCGACTTCAACTTAAGTGGCTTCTCCGACTTTGATTGGGCCGCCTGCGTGGACGATAGGTGTTCCGTCATTGGTTTTTGCGTGTTTCGGGTTCATCGCTCATCACCCGAAAATCAAAGAAGCAACCGATCGTTTCAAGGTCTTCCTCCGAGCGGAATACGTGGCACTTGCAGCGGTTACTTATGAAATGAAATGGTCGATATACTCGCTAAAAGACCTTCATCTTCCTCACACTCACCCAAAGCATTGATTTTCCGCCACAACCACTCTGCAATTCATATCGCCAAAAACCCTATTTTCCATGAAAGAACAAAGCACATAGAAATAGAGTGCCACATCGAGAGGGAGAAACTTCTACAAGGGATCGTCCATCTCCTTCCTATAAGTTCAGCCTAATCAACTGGTCGATTGTTTCACCAAGCCGTTGGCACTTGCAAACTTCACTTTACAAATCTCCAAGCTCGGGCATTTTAGATCTTTATGCACCAACTCCAGCTTGGGGGTATCAAAGCATAGTTAATTGATATTGTTATAAGTATCCAACGTGTGTTTTTCATGTGTGTTAGTCTGTTTTAAATTATCAAGGTTAGTTAGAGAATTTCACCAAGATTAGTTAATCGAGTTTTGAATATTTCTTGTTATCGTTATATAAAGATGAAATGCAGTAGAGTAAAGAGGGAGAAATCACTACTCCTCTTCCAAATTTTGTTTTGCCTCAAAACTTAAACACATTATTACTCAAGCTTTTGCGTCAATGAGCCTATGATAAAATATCATCCTCTCTTTAGAGAGTCTTGAATTGGAACTGTTGGGGGGGGGGGGGGGGGGGCTCAAGATTTCATACTCATGACCTAGAAGTCTTTAATCACCTCTAAGCTCTAACTAATTTGCATTAATTAATGTCACTGTCGATGTGAATTGCCGTCATAACAGTCGTGGAAAAGTGAAGGTCAAGCATGTGACCATGTGAGCAAGGTAACTCCCACTGACCTCTCTGTGTTGCTGAAGTAAAATTATATAGTACTCCTAGTACTTAGTACTTGCTACATGTATTCAATATTTTTTTACATGGATTGGGAATGAAAATGAAAGCTGTGATCCCCTATATAGAAAGAAACGGTTATTTAAGAGCTATGCTTCGCGTGTATCAGCAGCAGAACCGTAAAGAGCAAGTACAGGCAGAGGCATAGGAAAAAGTGCTTATAATAAGAAAATCAGAATGAACGGTGTAATTACAGCTGCAAGCCGGTAGCTAACTCTTCTTAGCAGTCTGATTCAGTAGGTAACATATCAAACACTGGTCATTCAAACAAAAGATCTCTTCCAACGAGGTCAAACTCTAAAATATTACGACTAGCTAGTCACAGAAAAATGAAATCCCTGATATTGCCAGTGGCCGACACCATGTTCCTACATTCACATGCAAACAAAAACCCCCTTCTTCTGTATATTTTCAATTTTCAATTTCCCCCTCGCAGCTTTCGTCTTGTTAATCTTCCCTCCACAATCCATCCATTCCTTCCTTTTTTTTTTTTATTCATCAAACAGGTGCAGACAACTCTGAAATGGACAGTTGTTGGTCTATGTGAAACCAATTAAGTATATATGCAATTTTTATTTTTATTTCTACATATGAAAATTGAAATTGACGAATTAATGAATAAGGTCATACGAGATATTTTATTCATAGAATATGAGAAAACAAAGGGCCTAATTAAGTGACGGAAAAGAAGTCAGATTACTACAGGAACCCTTCCTCATCGTCTGTCTTTTTCTTTCTTCTTCTTTTTTTTAGGTCCTGTTCTTCATTTCCGGATAAAATGCCAACTATCTCTGCTTCCAAATCCCAGTACCGAATTAATATTTCACCGTTCTAAGAATTGGCCTGGGGTGGAAAAGCAGAGATGGCAGGCAATTTAACTTGAACATTGAAAAAGCATAAGAATTATTAACCGTACAAAAGGTAGTCCATCAGGGAAAAGGTGGAATTTTAAGGCACTAGCGAGGAATGTTGACAGAAATCTGAAGTTGCATTGTTTAGACTCTGCAGTGCCCTGCTCTTCTTGGACAGAGGCTCCGGTGAGGAAGTCACCGATGATACCACAGACCATGAATCATTTGAGCTGTCTGAGCTGAAAGACACATCAATCACCCCGTCTGGACTGCCTGGAACTGAACATAACTTGCGCTTGTTTGATAGCTTAAACTGGTCTCTTGGAGCCAATTCCATTACAAGCTTGCTACAATCCTCTACCTTGTCCTGTTTTAGACATAATCAAGATTCAGCATAAAAGTGCATAAATAATGACATTTTCTCATTCAAAGTGGACAGAAAAATGGAATTCAATAAAACGAGAGAGTAAAGCTACTAACTTCATCGATTCCAAGAATGCTCAATAGCTGGCTTTGGAATTCTGCTGCAAGACTGGGTTCTACATTATCAATAACATAGAGCATTGTGGCAGTAGCTATTACAGAAGGGAAATAAGGCATAGACCTAGAATCTGCACATATTCAAGAAACATAATGTAAGTCAAAAATTGAGAGAGCAAATTATATGAAAGAAGCCTAATCTATCAATGAGGTAAAGGAAAGATTTTGACAACTTGCCTGACATGACAGAGAGGACTATGCACTCACACCTCTTGAGAAATTCAAAACAAAGATGGTCTTTTAGACCAAGCCTTCTAGTGATGTAATCAAGAAATGATATTGGGGTTATTGGATTCATCTTCCATTTAAGAGTAGAAAGAACCAGAATCTCCATTCTCTGGATAGTATTGGCCTCAAACACATATTTACTGTCCTCCACCTATGAGTAAGTCGAACAGCAAACATTTACGAGTAGACTAGGCAAACAAATTAATGACATTGATGAGTAGATCAGGCAAACAACTTAACCACAAGCATTTAGCAAACGAGCCTGTAAGTTTATATCAAACCAAATGCCACATATTTACCTGAAAATCCAATAGAAGGGGCACTTCGGTCTCCTCCACTTTGGCAGCAAGTGAGAGGCAAGCTACAGCTGAAAGCTGGCCCATCCATGGCTTCTCTTTCTGAAGGTGGACACTGAATAAAAACCTATCAAGATAGTTCACTGCCAAAACTGCAGTTAGAGCAGCGAAAGAGTAGTGGGCATTGACCTTTAAAATCCACTCTACAGCCTTACAGCGAGCCCTAGCTAAAGATGGGTTGGTTTCCAAGTTTTTGTACAGCTGATTTTGCTCCTCCTTGGCAAACAAAGAGGAAAGTTCCTCATCTTCCCAACTTAAGTCCTGTTCTAGCAAGATTGGAGAAGTGTTTTGTTTATTGCTATAATAACTCTCTCCTTCTACCTCATCTTGAAAATAGTCCTCACTAACTTCTTCCTCCCAATTCTCTTCGGAACAATAAAGAGCATCATAAAGAAATGTAGGGTTTTGTTGATATTGTTGTTGTTCCTGTACTGCGCTTGTTTCTGGATTATACCCTGATGCCATCTTCTTCCAAGAAGAAGAAGTACAGATCCTGGTTCATTATAGGCAATAAGAGAAAGACATGAATAAGGTAGAGAGACCAGAAGAGCTAGCTGGAGTTATCTCTTTCTCCCTCTCGATGCGAAGTAAAGAGTAAGAGGGGAGGGGACTGACCAGTGACCTAAAAGTTGGTTTTTATTTGTGGGTTTCGAGCTGGTGGGTCTTTTTTTAAAAAATAAATAAATAAATTGGGACTTCTCGTGTTTATCGACCCAAACCTGAATCATATGGGCCATGTAACACAATTTACTCGACACGTGACACTTGTACCTTCGTTTTGCCTGACCCCACGGTTTGAAATTTATTGGGCCCTGTTTGCTATGTGTTTTTGCTCTTCTCATGCGTAAACCAAGATAAGTCTTCACTTGTGCGTTCTTTTTGGTTTCAGGTTGTGTTTGGTTTGAGTAAAAAAATTGAAGGCTGAGGAATGAAGCGTAAACGATATAAAAGAAATGGTTGAAGATAAAGAATTATTTTATTGGTGGGATCCGATAAATATTTTAAATTAAATATTATAGAAAATAATACATAAGATATGAGATATATTTGTAAGATACAACGATTATGTGTAGGGGAAAAAAGAGAGAGAGAGAAATGAATGGTGAATTTAAAAAAAAAATAGAAACAAAAATACAAAAAATCTAAAAAGTATTATCCTCAACTCTCTTCACCTTCACTTTGATTGACACTTAGTCCTATTAAAACCTTCACTCTTTAAAATTTCTAAACAAGGTTCAAGATCCAAAACCAAACAAACCATAAATTAACTGGGACAAATGTTAATTCCTTAATATTAACCTTTGTTTTATAATCATTTGGATAAGGGATAAACGATTAGGAACCATGGTAGAATGACATTAATCATTATACAATCTCATAACATTTTTAATTTCGGTCATCCGATTGGAGTTTTATTTTTGTTTTTTTGTTTTTTTTTTTAATCTTTATCCAAATTTCACAATAATTCTTTCACTTTAGTCCTAGATTTTAATACCAACTTTAGAACAATTCCTAAAATTTATTATATAGAACAAATCCTAATTCAATTTTATAGTTTTCAAATAGTCCCTCAGTATTTAATTTTAACAAAAATTCTTGTTTATTTGAATAGAAGTGCTATTTTAGAAAAAATAAAAAAAAATTGCTTATAAAAGAAACATTTCTTATCGTGCTTTTCTTACAATAAACCAAAGAGGCGTTTCGTTTTTACCATGAAAGATGTGGTCTATTTATAAGCAAAGTAGAGCCAAACATTCCCTTGGTCTATATGAACAAATGGCCTAAAATACCCCAATGTGAAACCATCTTTTACCATTCAAAATTAAACGAAGGAAAACGTAACGATCTACGAGCAGAAGTTTGTGCCTTTCTGGTGTATGAGGGACCATATATCAGACATTCGGTTTTCTACTGAAATGGTATTTTGGCATTTTGTTCCAGGGACGAGAGTGAAATTGGCGCGGGCTGGACGCCTGCGTGCTCAGAGCGCGGCACTTGAAAATAACCTCTCTCACGCGGCATTTATATGTAAAAAGCAAAAGAATGTTTAACTCTTTCAACTATAAATTGAAGTGTAAATTTGAGAGAACATCAAATAAAAGTAAAAGCAAAACGGGACGGTCACTACTTTCTTTCCCTAATAATTGGTAGGATAGCTTTACCTTTTCCTTTCAAAAAAAAAAAAAAAAAAAAAAAGATGAAGATGACCACAACTATGCATCCAAATTAGAAGGATGGAGTTTTTTTAATCTCGTACGCACAATAAGGACAAACAAACTCACTGTGATAGATACACTTCCTTTCTTAATAGATTAAAATTTCAAGTTAAGATTTTTTTTTTTTCAATGTTTAAGAATAGTGCAATAAAGAAACTCCACTCAATGAATAGTCATGTCTTTTGGCAACGAGATTATTTTTTTTCCAAATGATTAATAAGGTGTAGCAAATTCTCCAACGAGATTGCGTACCGAAAGGCCAAATCAAGACATTGAATCGAAGTTACATTGACTGAGGTGGGATCTGGAGATAGAGCTGCATGCAACATAGCAATTTTAATAGGGAGACTGATCATTATTCATTTGATCTCTAATTACAACAATACTACGGCTAGAATAGAGCCGCGCATGTCAGCAAACAACAAGAGTACGTCCTCTGAAAAATCAGGTCAAGGTCACATAGCCTGGGTAATTAATCTTCTATTTTACAGTATTTATTATTATTATTTTCTCTTATCTGACATCGTGCTTTACTTCACCGGATTAACAATTACTGTGTTCTGGGTTAGAACAGAAACTCACCTGTCTCATCGTCATGGATTAACATTAAGGGAAGCATTAATTACTTACACAATTGATGTTTTATTCCATACAAATTTCATAAATAACCAATGAATTGTTTATTGAATTTGGGAACATGTTAGACCTTGTTTGTTTGTTTATTCACGAAAACTATGCCCTGCCAGCAGAACTTGTTGATTATAAACTGACTATTGTGAATCATTACTCATATCAAATGTTTTGTCGGTTTGTTGATGAGTAATTAATTAGTTCGATTGTTGCACAAATCGTTAGATTGAGATTTTTGCACATTGAATCATGATCTGCAAACTAGCAAGAGTAGTGCTCTTATTTTTCGTTTATTACTGTAAACTGCCAGTGCCTCTGTACCTTCGAAATGTACAATAATAGGAAAATAATTTTGCAACAACGGAAGGCATGCCTCTAGAGGACTATAATGCCGTAAAATTTAAAGCTGAAATTGAATGCTAAATAAAGGTGATCGATTGACTTTAACAGTACAGTCATTTCTCTATTTTCATTTTTTTTTGGGCTCATTCTTTCCGCATTGGTTTCGAATAGATTATCAAAAGTGGTATGCCTAAAAAGAAAGAAATTGGAAAATTCAGTTCCCAACGTAATTTGACTACTATCTCAGCAAGACAAGTCAGTTCCATTTTCTGTACCTAAAGGAAGGTCCCTCCCCGTCTATCTCTGCATAACCAATAACAACAGGGCTATACCAAAAAAGAGCAACTGTATTTGTATGCATGCGTTTGTCTTTAATTTTAATCAGATATCTATAAAATATTGCCTTCTTGCTCCTCCATTGCACGCATAGGGAAATTCTGGAACTGTACGTGGGTTGCTTACATACTGAGACGCGTGTAGGGTTTCTGCCCTGACCCTCATATGTTGCTTTCTTTTCTCTTCTTTCATCTTCTTTATAGGGCTCGATGTCCAAGAAATGTCGCTAGACAGATAGAGAGTGCTGAGAGGACATAAAAAGAGGGGTAGTGCTAGCAGGTGAGATAGAATCACCGAGAGGAAAGAAACTGGAGGAGAGATGTGTTGCGGTGGTTGAATTGGTTTCCAGTTCACTCCACAAAGTAAAAGCTCTAGGGAAAGGGAACAAAACTGAACAAAGTTTGCTATTGTTTTTGCATTATTTACCATTCAAAAGAAAGCTCTTTTCTTTTTACCTTTTTTTTTTTCTGTTCCCTTTTTGCTTTCACTTGTTCACAAAAATTTACAATGTCTATATAGTAATTGGGAGTATTTTACATCTCAAGTTTCTGCACCACTATTCTGGTCACTTTCAGCTTCAAAAGCCCATAACTCTTCTTCAGAATCAAAAAAGCAAGGCTTACATTTCAATCACAAAAACCCGAAACAAACAAGAAAGCCAATCAATCCTCAGTGCCCTTTATTGGAACTCTCCAAGCCATTCCCTATTGCACAAACGCAGACCTATACCTAAACATATTATCTAGCTCGTGGGACCATGCTAAAACGATCAAATTTAAGTACTTTAAAATGGGGAAGATTTTGATACAAGAAATTCGTTGTATAGATGTAAGGGGAATTTGAAAAAAAAAAAAAAGAGTCATATGAAATAGGAAAAACTCATCCTGGACCAGGGGACTGTTTGGAGTGATGACCCACATGAATTTCTTAGTCCAGCTGGTTGGAGGACCTCCCGAGCTGAGGTCCACTTCTAATAGTCTCGTCTAATGATCATGTGTGTCCTGCAATCATTTCGTACCATAGAGGAACTTTTGATTTAGTTATGCATGGTAACTGCTGAAGATTGCAAAATTGTAAGTTGTAGCATGATAATGAAGCGTTGACCTTCAGTTTCTTACCCGTGAGCAATGAATTTTAGTTTTTTTCTAGTTTACAACCCCACCATTTTTCATCTTCGTATACAGATGCATTTTGATTATAAGCTTTCTCGAGCCTCGACGCGTGTTAATCTCCACCAGTAATTGAAAGACAGCAATAATGTATAATCTGCATAACAAAAATGTTTCAAGTTACCTAATCTGGCCAAATTAATTTTCTATAGTTCTCTTAAAACTTGATCCCAACTTTCGGTCTTTGGATTAAAATAGTTGATGAGGTAAAAGACTGTTGTGATGAACAGCTCATCAAAGTATTAGCAAATAGCCCAAGCAAGGATTGTGATTACACCAGGTAACTTCATGAATCCTTCTTAGCAGAAGTTCTCTGTCTCACCCCTTGAATAATTTTGCGTAACGTCATTGCATGAGACATTGCCGTCCTTGTAGGATTTGCAATTCCCAAATTGGCTAATGTTTAAACATCTGATAACAATGACCAAGCCCTGGAATCACACAGTTCCCTGAGGACCAAATGCACATTATGAGAGTCTCAAGTACTCTCTAATTATTCTGGGGCCAAGCTCCTCTCTCCAAAAGCTTCAAACCAGTCCTATAAATCTAATCTAATAGTAACTAAAGGATTTTTACCTGAAAAGAATCCTCCTACCTACCTTCTGAATTATTCTCACCGTTGTAGATGGTTATTTAGCCTATACTGCCAAGAACAGCATCACCTCATTTGCTACTTGAAGGTATTTACAGTCCCACGCGTGTTTTGACTACTCGAAACCTACGTACAGAAAAGATTGTGTAGACATTTACCACATTATTCTCAGCAGATTCGTGTCTTCCGAATTTACCACGTTGCGTAGACATTTCAGATGTCAGCCAATGATAGCTCCCCATCGTTTCGACCACTAGAAGCCCACAAACCAAAACTGGACAACTTGCCCAGTTGTGCTCGACTCTTTTGAGCAGCCCAAGAACGTCTCAAGGTAATAGACATTAGTTACGCTCTCGTCAAGACCCGATTGGTTAAACGTCACTATTTACTCAAGAGCCCTAGACAACGATTGCTCGGATCCATGTTATGCTCAGATCAATGGCCACAGGACCATATGGTCAAAATCAAAGCAAAAGAAACAAATGGTGCATACTGAAAGATTTACATAAAAAAAAAAAAAATTGAAGGAATATAATTGATCCTGCCTGAGCACCGGTGCCACTGGCAATGATGCCTATTGACTGAGCAATGGCCTCTTGAATAGCCAGCATGATTGGCGTGTACACCTCATCTACGTTCACAGTCCCTTTCCCTGCAGACTCCTACTTTATTCTATTGGTGGGTAAACAAGCTCTTGACATGTTAGGTACAAATAATTTAGCGATCTGAAAGTCTTCCTCCCGCAAACAATCAAACGCGGGTCCTAGGATTTGCGAAAAGCTTATTCCTGCCAAAGGCGCCACAGATACGAAGGCAACAAAAAAGACAGATACAAGTCAAAAAAGTCGAGTTCATTTCAATCATTTTCTTTGTCCTCATTTCTAAACAAACCAACGTGAAAGTGCAAGTCAAGGATTATCTACCACATTGACAATTTGGCTAACTAGGATACATTTAGGTTCTAGAACCCATACACAATTCCCTGCCTTGTGCAAAACTTTAAAATACGTCGATCACAATGATCTATAACTGACAACAAAATTGCATATGGAGTATCAAGTAATCACCCAGGTTACAATCATCATCCACTGCCTCGTTTAAAATGTTCTCTGATGAATCTTTCTGCATGAGTTGGGTACTTGTTTCGAACGTATGCTCGTAGGCACTTCTGATAGGAGAAGTCTATCCATCCACCATCAGTTCTTACAACAAACAGGCACCTTGAGCGTCTAAATTGGGGATGACGATCAACCTTCAACAATAGAAGTTCAGCTGCTTAATAGTTTTCTCATAGACCAACAGAATAGCTAACTTGAAGACATTCATATATCACATAATTATTAACACACAAACAAAAGGTAAAATGATGGGTGAGTACAATTCTAGCCACAATAGCTGGCATTTGACTTGAAGGAAACAAATGGCTCTGTTGATACAAATACACTCTGCAAACAAAAAGAAATGAGGGACAAGCACAAGAAAGAAGGGACAAGATCTCACGTGACAAAGAAATGAAGGTGGCGTCTGTTGAAAGATTTTTATCTACTGACCAACATACGTGCCGACCATGTGTGGCTAAAACCTGCCAGATCTCCTAGGCAAAAGGTGCATGCAGGAAAATTAACAAAAACAGAGAGACTGATGCATGTCTGTCAATTTCTTCGCCACTCCTGTGTATAGGTTGGAAGAGACAAAAGGAGAAACATAAAAACACGGATTTGTGGGAAAATTCAAAGAGATAGACAGCATAGTCAAGTAAGAAGAATCCGACTGGTCATGCATCAAAAGTTTCCAGCTGTGTTGCACAGCTGCTTGGGAATTCCAATTTTAAAAATATAATTATTAAGCATCAATATTATAAGGGGATATTAACTCTCTCTGGAGTGTTGGACAGGTTTAGCACATAGGTCATTCACTCCAAAATTGCTAGTTTTGACACAACAAATGATTTTGGAAAGATGGATAGCATAGTCCATATGAAATAGCGAAAGCAAAAAATGATCAATCTGGGGAAGCAAACATCATTATACATCAGGAAAAGAATAAGGTGAACAATGGATTCATGGAGATTGCCTGTGAGCAATTACTTTTACAAACTGGCTTGCATTCTATTTAGGTCTAATGAGATATAAAATAGAAGCAGGATTCTGCTTGCATGCATCCATATGTTGGGTTCTTCCAACTTCAATTTTGTAATGTGCATGCAAATGTTCATAAACCAATGATAGAGAATGAGTGGCAGATCTTGAGGAATATTTATCTAGGAAAGTTAAAGACTTAATTCTGTTTTATTTGTATGTCGGCATGAATCTAATTGATTAGGTTATTACGATATTTGGTATTGATCAGGGTTTTTATTTTGTTTATTATTCTAGAGTTTCATTAGCATTGAAATGCCTATATGAAGGCAATAATCTATTATCAGTTGCATAATTACTAATAATTGAGTTTTTTGTTTTCCTTCTAATGGCTATTCTTCTTATCTTTCTCTTCCCCTTTCCATCTACTCTTGCACCCCTTTCTTCCCTTTATCTTCCCTCATCCCTCATTCTTATCTTTGTCCTCCATCGACCAATTATGTCCAAAACTATGCAATTAACAGACAAGGAACACCAGTGGTGCATTACATTGAAAAGAATATAAAATTGGAACTTCAAAAAAAAAAAAAAAAAAAATAAGAACTTGAAAGCTAAGGAAAAATTACTAGAAACTGAAGGAAAGATCACTAGAAACTGAGCTACATACCAAGTCAACTTTTAAAACAACATGATCTCATAAATGCCTCGGATATTTAGAGTGAGTTAAGAGAAAAAAACTAAATCAATAAAAAATGGATCATGAATTTGAAACTTGCAAGAATGAGCTCCATCACTGAGAAAACAAAACGGCTATAGTTCACACTATTTAGCAACAAGGAAATGCTACAGTACCCCAGCCCTTGCCCCTGAAAAATACACATCCTCAAAATTTCATGGGTTGCAATTCATATACGAATGAGAAATCTATCCATTTCATTTGTTAGCTAAATTTCTTTGAATATTATGACCTCCTCATCCCCCAACTTTCTGCTGAATCCAGAAGATGATTGGCTTTCCAGATTTATTTAGGAATCCTCCTAACTGTCAACTCAAAACTTTGATTCCTTCTGGTGGAATCCTTTGGGCCTATTATCATCTAAATGGGCTTAGCAAAGCAGCACCTTTCTACAGAAGCAGGTAAAAATAATTTAGACTGGTGCATTGACACCTTCCAGCACATGTAAGCTAAACAACCAAAAAAGAAAGAAAGAAGTAATTAGACGCCAAAACTTTAAATCTCACCATGACTCATATTCTGCAAACAAAGCATCCTTGAGCACTATGCCTAATAATCTGGGGTCCCTTAACAGTCTTAATGATGCTCGAAAGATAGAACATTGGCTCACAAAGATTCAGTAAATCACCTTAGACCTTCAAGATTTAAGCAACGACATCCCTTGGCTATATACTTATCTTTCAAGTTTGACCAATATCACTAACAACACACATGTCAGACACTTGGAAATTCGGATTTAAAACTCACAAGGACAATCACCATTGCAAGTTTTAGATTCATTCAAACTTAGCAAAAGTTCTCCACTCAAAACTGAATCAGGTGAATCTTTGATAGTACACTTAGACAGCCAAATCACAGTGATGCTAAAATATCTACAGCATTGCCATAGTGTTATATAATGGGAAAATATGCCAGATAAATTTTATATGAGTTAAAGTTAGCAAAAGTTCTCTACTCAAAATTGAATCGGGTGAATCTTTGACAGTACACTTAGGCAGCCAAATCATGGTGATGCTGAAATATCTACAGCATTGCCATTATGTTATACAATGGGAAAAATATGCCAGATAAATTTTATATGAGTCAAGAATGGTTGACATTTCAAATTTACTTAGAAATCCTCCAAAGTTGATCCATTCCCATGAGCTTCCCTATCCGCTTATCTAAAAGGGATTTGGTGCAGACAGATTTATAAAGGACATTCCTTCTCACGAGGTTAACACCTTCGGTAGCTATAGTTCCAAATAACACATTGACATCTGCCAGTGCATACAGGCTAGATATATATACATAAAAAGTAACAGTAAATAGAAGCTGAATTCAAATCCATTCATGCTATGCAGAATGTCAAATAAATTATTTTTGGGCACTTGGACCTTAGAATTTGAGGTCACTCGACAGTCTTGGTGATGTTTGGTTCCGTGGGATTAAGCAAATCAGCTTACACCATCAAGATTTTTGTGCTAATCACACACCCACTCATGACAATAACTTCGTATTTGAGTCAGAAAATGGGAATTCCAGATGTTAGAATGCATTCTAACTTGGCAAAAGTCCTCTACTCAAAGTTGAATTTGATACTATTAGAGAGAACAGTTCATAAATTGAGTCAAGACACTAGCCACCTAGAGAAGAGTCACAATATCTACGGCCCCTGCCATTACATTATATGTCTAGATAAAGAATATTCTATCTCCTTGTAAAGTTAAGACAATAAGAGAAAAGAAAACGGAATGAAATGAAACAGAGGGAATTCCAGATGTTAGAATGCATTCTAACTTGGCAAAAGTCCTCTACTCAAAGTTGAATTTGATACTATTAGAGAGAACAGTTCATAAATTGAGTCAAGACACTAGCCACCTAGAGAAGAGTCACAATATCTACGGCCCCTGCCATTACATTATATGTCTAGATAAAGAATATTCTATCTCCTTGTAAAGTTAAGACAATAAGAGAAAAGAAAACGGAATGAAATGAAACAGAGGGAATTCCAGATGTTAGAATGCATTCTAACTTGGCAAAAGTCCTCTACTCAAAGTTGAATTTAATACTATTAGAGAGAACAGTTCATAAATTGAGTCAAGACACTAGCCACCTAGAGAAGAGTCACAATATCTACGGCCCCTGCCATTACATTATATGTCTAGATAAAGAATATTCTATCTCCTTGTAAAGTTAAGACAATAAGAGAAAAGAAAACGGAATGAAATGAAACAGAGGGAATTCCAGATGTTAGAATGCATTCTAACTTGGCAAAAGTCCTCTACTCAAAGTTGAATTTAATACTATTAGAAAGAACAGTTCATAAATTGAGTCAAGACACTAGCCACCTAGAGAAGAGTCACAATATCTACGGCCCCTGCCATTACATTATATGTCTAGATAAAGCATATTCTATCTCCTTGTAAAGTTAAGACAATAAGAGAAAAGAAAACGGAATGACATGAAACAGAGGGCATTCTTGGATCAAAACCAACACGACGAGAACAGGGCATGAGCTAAAATGCCAGAAGAATAAAGGGGAAAAAAAACAAAAAACAGAGTCCAATCCATAGGATACAGAAAGAAAAAAAAGTCGTGTGGCAAGACCAAAGAGTCAGGAGAAGACTCAATTTGAGCATAGAAATCTTATCTTGACTGAAAATAAATGTCGAAGCCTCCATAAATTAGCACAAAAAGAAACGCTTCAAAACATGAAAACAAAAGCCGAAATGCCACAATCAAACACTTAAATCTTTTGAAAACTATGCAAACTTACCATAATAGAATCAAGCCCACATCCAATTTTATCATCAGAATTCGGATGATAAGCAAGAAGCTTCTCCACCACAATTTTCTCATCTTCAGTTGTTAGTTGTTCTCCATCCATATACCTAAAAGCAAGCAAGCAAATCAAAACAGAAATAGAACGGGTTGATAAGCAAATAAAGGCAGACGACATTAGAAAGTGAAGGGACCTGTCAGAGTGGAGAATTTCTTTAGTGAGGGAAGTGATAGGTTCAATATCTCTTAAAATCTCTGCTTCTTTATCTTTCCACCTTCGGTAATTTTGGTCGTCCCGACTTGAATACCTTGGTGCCTCGCGCAAGCTCAACGCTGCGCTAGTCTTGTCAGATACATCCTCTTCCGGTTGAGTAGACTCAACTGTTGAACACCACGACTTCCGAAGTGGCGAGAGAAATCCGGTGGCGAAACGGTGGCGGTGTTGGAGCCGGAGGCGCAGGAGCGGACCGCCTCTGAGAAGCGCAGCTGCGGCCATATTTGGGTTTGGGAATGGATGGTTACTAAAGCTGGTATTGTGCAATTGGTAATCTAATGGGCCCACTTATCTCTTCGTATAAGGGTGGGCTCGTTTTGAGTTTGTTTGTATGTTTGGGTTAAATGCAATCGGGCTTGTGGCCTGCTTCATCAATGGTAGGAGAGAGTGGGTCCATTATCTGATGCCGTAAAGTGTGTACCTGCAAATATGATCCAAACTCACCAGAAAGGCCGAAACGATAAATGACTCGAACTCATAAACAAAGAGAGAGAAAGGAAACATTTACCGAAATATTTTATTTTATTTTAATATCCTTTTATTTTTCCAATGAAGTGACGTTTTAATTAAAAATTAATAATATGAAAATATTATTTGAATTTTGAATTTTCTTGCATTTTTTCGTCTTTAAATGGGGGATATTTGCTTTATGGGTTAAAATGGAAAGAAAAAATTATTTTCATTGAGCAGCCTTTTTTGTTCGCCCCTTTTTCTTCCTATCAAATGTCCCACTCCTAAGTAACATTCATGGTATAAGGCCTGGAAAAATTGGAGGCGCATTTTTTAGTTAGATATTATTCAGAGATCGTCGTGGACTCTTCAAATAGATTTTCTTTTTTGCTTTCTTATGATTTCCTTAAGTCGAATTTATAGTTTTTTTTTTTCCTGCCATGGCTAACTTTTAGTAATTATCAATTATATTGTATGTTGTGCATGCATTCGAACTTAAATATTTATCAAATTGTAGCTGCAAAGCACTATAATTGTATGCTTTTGACTAACCCTTGCACTGTTGTAATTAAGCATTGCCGATTCAATTATTATAGGCTTATACTTTCATACATCCCAATACTTTTTGTTTCGTGTTTTTTTTTTAAAAAAAAATTATTATGATATCAGTAATTATGTATTACGTTTTCGTTTTCGTTACACTCTTTTTCAATTGGCACGAACAAGTGCTCCAATCTACAAATGTACATTCGATCCCTAAAATTTATTGAAAATTTTACTTTAATCCCTATTTTTTTACAAATACATATTTGATTGAAAGTTTTTATCATCAACTTTTATAGTAAATCCAGATTAGTCTTTGAATTAATTTTTTCAGTGAAATCCCTACATGTCGCACCGTGAACTAGGTCAAAATTAGCCAAGCGATTTAAATGAATTGATGAATTAGGCATAGGTTAAGTGTGTTTAAATAGATATACCATATTTGGAAAAAGAGAGAGAGAGAGAGAGTTATTTTTGTTTAACAATAAAACTTTTATTTCCAATAATATCATATATCTATCATGATAATTTCTTTTCATTTTTTTCTTTTTTAAAAAATTATTTTCTAATTTTAAAAATAAAAAAGATCATGTCAAAATTTCTTTAAAAGAAAATACATTCCCGATTTAGAACTAAACAAATCCAACAAAAAAATAAAAAGAAAAAGAAAAATATTTCTCATAATCGATAAAAAGATATTATAAAAAAAATCTATTGAAAATAATGTATTATGATAATATATGAGAAAAAAATAAAAATAAAAATAAAAACAGTTCTAAGCTCACCAATCTATTTAAATTGTTTGACTAATTTTCACCAAGTTTATGATTTAACATTTAGGGACTCGATTAAAAAGATTCATCAATAGAATAGTTGTATCTATTGTAAAAAGGGATGACCAAAAAGTTAAGTAAAGACTTATTAGTATGAAAAAAATACATTGGGACCAATATTTTTTAAAGAATTTTTAGAAACCAAAATGTGCATGAATGATGTTGAGATAAAAATTTATAAAAAGATACGTATTAGTTTTTAACGATGTGAGTGACACCAAATGATGAAAGAGTATAATAAAGAGGAAAATATAATATACATGAATGAAATACAAGCAAACTACTATTCACACTCTATCTGAATAAAATAAATAAAGAGATAATTATATTTTTGGTGTCTAGATTTAGATTTTTTTTTTTTTTTTTTTGGTGTGCAGCTAGTAATTTCTTCTATTTTATTATCTAGGTTTTGATTTTGTTTTTTTTATCTTGGTGTTTGAAGTCACATGAGATCAATTTTTGCTAAATTGTCCAATGCATAGCACTTTTAACTATCACGTGATAGTTTTGACTACCATATGAAAAAAGGAAGAAAATAACAAAAATAAAAAAAATCATTGTTATTTTCTTAAAAAAATCAGTGAAATCCCTACGTGTCACACCGTGAACTAGGTCAAAATTAGTCAAGTGATTTAAATGAATTGATGAGCTAGGTATCGGTTAACCGTGTTTAAATAGATATACCATGTTTTGAAAAAAAGAAAAAAGAAAAAAAAGAGAGAGGTATTTTTGTTTAACAATAAAAATTTTATTTTCAATAATATCATATATCTATCATGAGAATTTCTTTTCATTTTTTTGCTTTTTCAAAAATTATTTTCTGATTTTAAAAATAAAAAAAAGATCAAGTCAAAATTTCTTTAAAAGAAAATACATTCCCGATTTAGAACTAAACAAATCCAAACAAAAAGAAAAATATTTCTCATACTCGATAAAAAGATATTATAAAATACAAAATTTTTATTGAAAATAATGTATCTATGATAATATATGAGAAAGAAAAATCAAAGTAAAAACAATTCTAAGGCAATCAATCTGTTTAAATTGTTTGATTAATTTTGACCAAGTTTATGATTTGACATTTAAGGACTTGATTAAACAGATTCATCAATAGAATAGTTGTATTTATTGTAAAAGAGGATGACCCAAAAGTCAATTAAAGACTTACAGTATGAAAAAAAAAACAATATTAGGACCAAAATTCTTTTAAGAAATTTTAGAAACCAAAATGTACATGAATGATATTGAGATAAAAATTAATAAAAAGACATGTATTAGTTTTTAATGGTGTCAATGACACCAAATGATGAAAGAGTGTAATAAAGAAGAAAATATAATATACATGAATGATATTGAGATAAAAATTAATAAAAAGACATTTTAAACACAAAATAAAGTGTGCATAGATGTGCCAAAATATAAACCCATTCATCACAGAGCCTTTGTCCTTTCTAAGAGCATAATGTGGAATATTGGTCTCATGCTCAATATTTTGGAGGTTTTTTCTATGCGTGGGTGCTTTTGAATTCTTCGTCTAGATAAAACATTTTTAATTTCTTTTTCTTTTTCTAAGAAAGAAAAATAGCAACTTCAATGATTTTGAATGAAAAACAAGCAAATCACTATTCACACTCTATCTAAATAAAATAAATAAAGAGAAATTTGTACTTTTGATGTCTAATTTTAGATTTTTTTTTCTGTCTTGGTGCACAACTAGTAATTTCTTTTATTTTATTATCTAAATTTTGATTTTGTTTTTTTATTTTGGTGTTTGAAGTCACATCAGATTATTTTTGCTAACTTGTCCAAAAACGTATGATACATAGCATTTTTAACTATCACGTGATAGTTTTGGCTGGCACGTGAAAAAAAGTAGAAAAAAAAACTAAAAAAAAATCACTATTATTTTAATTAACTAATTGAAAGACAAATAATTGAAAAAGACAAGTTATCCGTCTTAGTAGAATCATTTCCTTCAAAACTAGATTTCTATTACTTCACTAGAAAATTTCAACATTCTTTCGGTTGGACTCTTGGCCATGTAAAGTTTATGTCATTGATATATGCAGACGAATCTTCTTTCTGGATGGAGAAAGCGATTTTTATTATTGTTAAATTTCTTCATTAGCCAACCATTTCTTTTGCAATTGGCAATGATGATTGAATTTCTTTTTTGTTTTTTTGATTTAATTTTAACTGGACCTTATATATATTTGAATTAAAAGATATCATGTTAAATTTGTTTGGATAGCTAAGAGAGTTTAAATTTTTTTGAAAAGTAATTTTTTACCAATAAAAAATACTAAACAATTGCTTTGGTAAATAGAAAATGTAAAGAACATGATATGAAAAAATATTTGTTGGTAATGCAACAAAATAGAAATTCTTGGATTATTTTTACAATATCAAAGCAATAATTTTTTTTGAGAAAATTGCATTTTTGATGCTCAACCTTGGATTTTCTATGTTTCAATGACCGCTACTGTTAATTCTTTTATTTCAATCCCAATTTTTTATTTTTTCTTTTTTTGAGCGTTCATAGTCACCTAAGAGTATGAAATATTGATGTGCACGGTATTTTTACTCGTCGCATGATATTTTTTTCCGTCATATGGTAGTTAGTCTCGAAAACGTCAACATTTCATACTCTTAGGTAATTGTAAGCACTTAAATAGAAAAAATAATAATAATAAATTAGGTATTGAAATAGAGAAAAAAATACCATTTGGGCACCGAAATTGAAAAAAATAATAATCAAATATTGGACACAAAATATAATTTTCTCTAAAAAGTGTATATAAAAAAGTAAAAACTCGCCAGTTATGGATGACAATGATTAAATCTCTTATCCTACTCGTTAAAAAACAACATGTCCATACCTACCAATTTAATACCTATTTGATATTTGTTAAAAATAATTTGTCAAAATATTTCGTTTTAGTAATGGGATTTTTAGAAAAAAGTTAATTTGGTTCTTAAAATTAATATTGTTTAACAATGTGGTATTTATAAGTTTGTTGGTCAATCGAGTTTTCATAAAAAATATTTTGGTTTTTATTTTATAAAGTCTATGCAATCATGTCTTTACATGTTGTTGTTGTTGTTAAATAGTGGATATTTGTAAGTTATAAAATAAAAATCTATATCCGCAAGTCATACTAGCATGTATGTGGTTTTTTTACCCTTACCTATCCTAATTATAATAACCTACCGTAAAATAATATTTAAGTAAAAAAAAATTCTAGGCTTCGTATAAATAGGGGCAACAACCGTCCCTTTTTTTCCATAATTTTCTTTCTTCTTCTCCTCTCCCTCTCACGCTATTTTCTTTTCGCATTTTTTCTCATATTCTCTTTCAAATCCTAAGCTAAGACTATGTTAAATTACCTTAATTAGAAAAACCTTAAACAAGTAGATTTAAGTGGAGTTTAATTAAATTAGTGCTTGGAAAGTTTGGAGAGCTAAAAGTGATTTGGTAGTTAAAGGATAAATTCTCAAATGTAAGATTTTTTATCAATTGATCTTTGAGTTGTGATGTTTACATGTATTTAGTGATGATATTTAAATGGAATTGGATTAGGTTATGGTTTGCTTGAAAGATTGATTAGATTAAGATTAGGGGTTTTGATACTTGCTTGGAGAAAACTTGATCAAGTGATTCTAAGTGTTTGAAAGATGTTTAATTGTTTTGGATAAGTGGTTTAAGAAGTTAATTTGAAGTAAAATTAAGCAAATTTGAGTAATTGAAAGATTGAAGATGATGAATAGTGAAAAAATCTATCATTACGTTTTGAATTGAAAATAATTTAGGAAAAATAAAGAATTAGATTATGTAAATGCAATTAAAGACAAATTGAATGAGTATTGAGTGAATTAGAATATAATGGATAATTTAATTAAAAATTTATTGTTTAAAGGTTTAAATTGAATTTGAGAAAAGATGATATGTATGATGGTTGTTTGAATTGAGGATTGATAATGAGATATAGCTAGACAATTCTTTGGAATTGTTGAAGAAATTATAGAACTTAGTTCAATTCTATTCCTATGAGTAATCTTATATTCATAATTCTAGAATAATTAAATTGTTTTGAATTATTCTTTTATATATGATATTGATGGTTGTCTATTATTGTGTGTTATTAGATTTTTCAAAGCGAGTTACTCCTTTTCAATAACATTGACTCGTTTGATTCTTTGATTTATATTATAAGTGGATATTATATAACATGTTATGTTTTTAAATTTCTTTGATAATTCTATCATGCATAATTGATTTAAGTATGATTTAAATGCATTCATTAGAATGTAAATGGGAACGAACTCCATGAATATTTAAAATGATTTCGCATAAAAAATGATTCGAATATGTGTTTGAGCAAATGTGTTTCTTGATTTGATATGTAATTATGAGATTGAATACGAGTGTATTTTAAATTGTTATTTTGATTATTCCTATAATTTTTGTAAATGCTTATTTGATATGAAATTATACTATTAATGTGACATGGAGCATGTATTATATTTGAAATATTGGACTTGAAATAAGTATAAGTTATACAGTTTTTGAAATGTTTTCAAGACGTTGGGGAACCTAGCTACAGAGGGGTAGCCTTTGAACTCAATGATACAAGACTCCGACTAGTAGGAAAGGTAAAGTGCTAGCCCGTGTGTCGACCAACATATGAAAACCTAGTCACGGGGTGTGAACTTTGGATGTTCACATCCAATGATACGTTATTTACCCCATGGGTGTATAAAAACCTAGATTTGTGAGTTAATGTGATTATGATATATGCATGTATAAATGTTTCAATGATTTGATACAAAATGGTTTTAAACCATCCAAATCATAAATGTATGATTTGAATTTATGTTGTGCATTTGTTTTGAAAGAATTGCATCTTGATTTGAGTTTTAAGTAATCATCTTTAGTTCATTTTTCTCTCGTAGTATGTCATACAATATCTACTCATTGAGTCGTTGATTACTTACCTCTCATTATTTTAGTTTTGCAGGATATTAAGATATTACCTTTTGCTTCCATTTGATTGCTTTTTTTGAAGTTAGCACTATGACCGTGCATCTTATCTATTTTCTCATAATTTCTTAGAACATGTATTTTATTCAATTGTATTTTTAGAAGCTCAACATTTATAGCTTGTGGGTATTGTATTAGGAATTAATTATAAATATTAATTAAAAAATACAAGGATAACATTAAATTATGATTTGTGTTGGAAATATAATGAGATGAACGTTAGCTAAGAATATTATAAAATGAAATGATATTTAAGGATTTTAGATTATTATCCGAGGCTTTCTTGAGTCAAAGTAGACCTTACGATTTTCTCGATTCTCGCATTGATCATGATCCACTATCGGAGTTGTGACGCCAATGCCCATTATAGCAAGATTGCTTAAATATGGTCCAATAGCTAAGAAATATTCATATTTTTGTTTTTCTATATATTGAAGGTTATTCTTTCAAACAATTATATGATACTTTTTTTTTCTTCATTTTTTCAATTCTCAAATTGATTTTGTGAAAAATTCTATAAATGTATGAAAAAAATTAGTTAATAAGTTTTTATTAATATTATAATTGTCTTTCTAATTTTTAAAATCTTGATCCAATATGAATTTTTTGTCCATCTCAAGTTTCTCTATAGAATTTTTGTTGATATCAATCAAGTTGTGCTTGGTGTAGGTGATTTTATGCGTATATGTTTTTTAATTTTATCATACTATTTATCTAATTTTGACTTATAAATCCATGTTTGCTCATCGGTGTACTACTATTACCTTGTCCTTATGCATGCAATAGATGAAATTTCATGATATTCCACGAGCCAACAATTTAATGTCTCAACATTCAAATCTAACTATTAGTGAAAAAATTTGTAAGTGGTATTTCCAATAGAAACTGATGGAAGCATCGTTCCACCAAGCTGCACTTGAAACTCTCTGTTTTTCAGAGGATAAAAAAAATCATTTGCTGAAATCCAATCCAATTCAATAATAAGGACGTTGCAATCCGATTTCGTGGAGCAAATGGAAAGATAAAATATTGTTTATAGGCCAAGCAAAAAACAATAATGGCAGAAGATTACAAGCGGGCGATCTCATTCATTGTCATAGAATCCTCCTTCATCATTGCCATATGGCTTTTCCTTACACCACCAGTAAAGATGAGAATCAAATGGTGGTAAAAGAAAAATCCGACTCGTTCAGAAAGAAGAGTCCACGGGAAAAAAATGAGAACGCATCCACTGCATGCAAACTCAACAGGAGAGATGACTATTCAATAAAACTTGCTAAATATAAACCAAATGAAATCCATTTTCAGTTCCGTCTTTGAAACAAGTAAAAAGAGAAGGGGCAATCAAACTCAGCGAGAGAGAACTGTAGTCCTCCTCCTCTTTCCGAAGCTAAAGTTGCGAATCTCCACCGATCAACTCTTAAGTGCCGTGAATGGGCCAGTCAACTTCGACGGCTTTAATCACAAGCCGTCGAGATTCAATTCATAGCAGCCACCGGTCAAAAGCCAAATTCACGGTCCCGATCATTCCGATGCAAGTAGAAGAACAAACCGAATTTGCGCTCGTTGAAGCACCTGATTACATCTCAGAGCTTCCTGATGAATGTTTAGCTTGCATTTTCCAGTCACTCAGTTCCGGCGACCGGAAACGCTGCTCTTTAGTTTGTCGGCGATGGTTAAGGATCGAAGGACAGAGCCGTCACCGACTCTCCCTCAACGCCCAATCAGATCTCCTCGCTTTAGTACCGTTTCTCTTCTCTCGCTTCGACGCTGTAACTAAGCTTGCTCTCAAATGTGACCGCAGATCCGTTAGCATCGGCGACGAAGCGCTAGATGCAATATCCATGCGTTGCCGTAATCTCACGCGCCTCAAGCTTCGCGCGTGTAGAGGACTCACAGACGCAGGCATGGCAGCTTTCGCTAAAAATTGTAAAGCATTGAAGAAGCTATCGTGTGGATCTTGCACTTTTGGAGCGAAAGGAATGAACGCGATTCTTGACAATTGCGCATCACTCGAGGAACTATCGGTAAAACGGCTTCGAGGAATTACCGATGGCGCGGCGGCCGAGCCGATTGGACCGGGGTTAGCTGCGGCTTCACTTAAAACAATTTGTTTAAAGGAACTTTACAATGGGCAGTGTTTTGGCCCGCTTATAATCGGGTCAAAGAATTTAAAAACTTTGAAGCTTTTTAGATGCTCTGGCGATTGGGATAAGCTTCTACAAGTCATTGCGGATCGGGTTACGGGTATGGTTGAGATCCATTTAGAGAGGCTCCAAGTTAGCGATACTGGCCTTGCAGCCCTCTCTAATTGTTTGAATTTGGAGATTTTGCATCTAGTTAAGACCCCGGAGTGTACTGATATTGGACTTGTTTCCGCCGCGGAGCGTTGTAAGTTATTAAGAAAGCTTCACATTGATGGTTGGAAAGCGAATCGGATTGGCGATGATGGGTTAACGGCAGTTGCTAAGTATTGTCCTAATTTGCAAGAGTTGGTGCTCATTGGAGTGAATCCTACAAAGATTAGTTTAGAATTGTTAGCTTCGAATTGTCAGAATCTAGAACGGTTAGCATTATGTGGGAGTGATACTGTTGGCGATGCGGAGATTTCTTGTATTGCAGCCAAATGTGTGGCACTGAAAAAGCTTTGTATCAAGAGTTGTCCAGTTTCGGATCATGGAATGGAAGCGCTTGCACATGGGTGCCCGAATTTGGTTAAAGTGAAGGTGAAGAAGTGTAGAGCAGTTACTTGTGAGTGTGCGGATTGGTTGAGAATGAAGAGGGGATCCTTGGCAGTGAATTTGGACAGCGGGGAACCTGAGCATCAGGATGCAAGTGCTAGTGATGGTGGGGTACAGGAAAATGTAGTTGAGTTTCCTTCAGTTCCTAACCAAATGCCGCTGCCTAGTATTGCATCGAGCAGTACTGGACGATCAACTTCTTTCAAGTCAAGATTAGGGCTTTTAAGTGGGAAAAGTTTGGTGGCTTGCACATTTAGAAGATGGTCAAGGGGTGGTGATAGCAGTTCTCGCGGATAATGAGATCATGAACCTGAAATCAGTTATTGCCCTTGATCTGTTTGGATTATTTTGGATTGTATTACCTGATTCTGTCTTTTATGTACTTTATTTGACCTTGTGTGCTGTTTATTGCCTTTCCTATTGAATCTTCAATATAAAAAAAGCGATCATTTTCTTATTTCTTAGATTGCTGTTCACCTCAACTTTGTGTTTCTTTATGTTGTAAGTTGTATGACACGCTTCTAGTTTACTTGTATCTTCTCTGAGAAGATGGCACACATGCTAAGACGATTCTTAAGGTTTTAGTTCTGAGAAACACATCTGTGCATTATACTATTGTTAGATAAACATTGGCTGTGTGATTTGTTAATAATTATCCAAGTTGTGCCCAGTTATACATTTACTGTTTTGATGTCTACACTTCTCTGTTCGCCTTTGGTCTTCTGGTTCTGTATGTTTTGTATAATGTTACTTTTTTAAGAGAAGCTGCTTGTACAATTGCTGCATAATCACATGAATCCTTCTGGGTTGATTTCAGCATGGTGAATATCATGGTTGAACCTGAATTTCCAGAAGCTGCATTACGCAAGTCCAAGTCAAATTCTAGAAGTGACAGATTTCTACCATTTGTTCAATTTATAGGGCAACGACTGAATGAAGCTAATTGCTGTGAGTTCTGCCAGATTGTCTTGATCCTGGAGCAATCATTAAGCAATTTATAAATCTCCAAACACTAGTTTGTCCGGCATCTGATTCTTGCATGTGTTTCTCAATCAATGGGATGTCAAGAAGTGAATCTGTCCTTATTGGTAAATTACCTTGGCTTTATGAAATCTCTCTCTACAACACACAGATGGACGCACTAACTCGGGTAGGTAGATATTTGTTGGAATTTATTACCCAAATGGGCCTTGATCCTTTAGTTTCTTGCATGCAGTGTTGACTAACTAGTTACTAGGTAGGATTAATTACTTCCATTCAATGCAGTGTAGTATAAAAACAATCCACACACTAACAAAGTAACACTAGACTAATTAGATTTTTGTTGCGATTTATAACCCAAATAGGCCTTGACCCTTCAGCTTTTTGGGTGCAGTGAAAGTATAAGGATCTTTTATGCTTCGAGCATATGGTGCAAGGAACCGCTGCGCTGACTTTATCATTTCAGTTGGGATTAATCGGCAAAACACTATGATTGCTCTATTTGCTACTTCTCGTCTATGACAGCTATTTCAGCAAAGTAGATTAAGTGCTATACTTCTTTGGCGGCATTCTACTTAACCAAAAGATACAGTGTGCTTCAGTTCTTTTGTTTTCTGCACTATGACTTAATTGGTCTGATTTTATTTGACTTGCTAGTTTCACACTTGAGGTTGGTGATTTGCACTGTTTTTCCTTTGAAATTAATTCTTCCATAGTTTGGTGAGTAATGGTAAATGCAGCTGCTACATAGATTGGTAGTTTAGTTGAATTTGTGCGAGCTTGATCTTTTCTTCCAAATATTCATGAATATTTTTTTTCTACTTCAGCTACTGTAGATTACTTCTCCAAGTATCATTTTGACATCTTTTTCGCGTATTTATAACAACTGTCTTCTGTGATTCATTGATTTTCATGGCTCTAGAAATTTTAGTATTGTAACTTTGAACTCCGTCTAAAATGATAAAACGGAGTTGGAGTTTGTGGGCAAGTCTGAAGTTTGATTGTTATCTTGGAAGGGAAAACCATGAGAGAGAAAGGGAGGGAGGAAGGAAGGGAAGAACATGGGGAATTAAAAGATTCTCCTTTTTGTTTAGAGGTGCGTTAATTTATTAACAAAAGAAACGCGGTTAGCATTCTCAGAGAGATTTGTTTAACCGCATTCGCAGAGAGATTTGTTGTTTCTGCAGGGCATAGGAAGTGGAAGAATCTCTTTCTTGTTTGTGGGGTGATTAAAGTGTTACGGTTTTGATGGAGCACTATAAGGCAGAGGAGTATAGGAAACTAAGGGAAGCATGCAGGGAAGCTACAGTAGAGATTGCGATGGGGTAACAGTAGATGAATAACGATCACTTGATGAGGAGGCAATGGTCATAACCAATAGCCGACATGGCAGTGGTTATAATAGATTTAGTGATGTGGCATTAATTAGTTAGGCATAAATACATTTTTAAAATTCTCTCTCGTATCTTTTCTTCTTCTTCTCATTCTTTCCCAAAGCTTTCTTCTTCTTTAGTTCAACTTTGTTAAGCAAAATGCTTAACAAATTGGTATCAGAACTTCCTTCCGGGATCAATCATGGTAGACAACAACATGCTCAGAGCCTTGGAGGACCACAATCGGAGGCATGAAGAACAAATGCAACGAATGCACTATGAGTTTCAAGAAAGTGTGGAAGAAATTCAAAAGCAGATGCAGGAGTACAATAATCAGACCCAGCTTCAATTTGAAGCTCTTATGAAGACGATCCAGACATTGATGATTGAGAAGGAATCTAAAAAAGAGCATCGGTCATCTTCCAACTCCTCGTATGGGGGAAATGCGACTACGAGACCCATTCAACAAGGTAACAATGGTGAGTCCCCGTTAACCCTTGAGTTTATGAAAACATGGTTATGGTTCTTGAATACCTAAAGTAGAGCTGCAATGGTTTAGGGTGAAAATCCTAGGGGTTGGGTTCGTAAATGTAGGAAGTATTTCAAGAGGAACTTTATTTCGGTTCAACGAGTGGATGAAGTTGCTTCTATGTATTTGGAAGGGAAAGTTGAAATCTAGTTCGAAGGATTTGTGGTCAAGCATGATTTGGGTAATTGGGAGGAATTTGTAGGAGGTTTAGTAGTAGGATGTGGTGGAAGAGCTTAATAAACTCAACCAAGATAAGGATGTAGAACGATATGCCGAGAAGTTTAAAGAATTTAAATCTTTGATGTGTGCAAGTAATCCCTACCTTTCCGAGTCTTACTTTGTGTCCGGTTTCATTAGTGGACTCCTAAAAGGCATTAAACCAATGCTTAAGATCCCGTAACCCACCATCTTAATGCAAGCCTTTGACCAAGCTAGATAGCAAAAAGAATCTATAATGACCATGGCCATAAAGTCCAGAATACCACCAGAACCTAATACCCTTATAACAACACCCGAATCCACTCAAACCAATATCAATCCTACAATACCAATAGACCACATAATAACCAATTCCATAAACCTACAATCATCTTCACTAAACAAGAAACTACCAATCACCACAAACCTACAAATTCCCTACCACCAAAGTCACAACTAAAAACCCCGCATGACTAGAGGAGGAGGATGGGACTTTGCTTCGAGTGTGGAGATAAGTATACTCAAGGCCATCAATGTGCTAGAAAAGCATTGAATGTGATGGAGGGAATGAAAGGAGATGGTGATGAATTTGAGGATGTAGAGGAAGGAATTGATGAAGAGGAGGGAGTAATGGAGGAAGGGTCGGATGAGGAGACCGGGTTATCTCTACATGCCTTAGCTAGAAGGTATGCAAACAACACTATCAAAATTAAAAGGTGTTGTAAGCAAAAGGAAATCATGATCTTAGTTGATAATAAGAGTACTCACGAGCTTCATTAGTCTAAAAATGATGTAAGAAGTGAGTGTCGCGATGAAAGAAATAACCATTCTTTCGTTGATAGTAGCTAATTGGGCAAGCATGAAATGCTCGACTAGGCTTAGTATGGTTTATGCGGGAGCATGAATTTAGTGGCTGATTTGACGATACTAGAATTGAGGAGTTGTGATATGGTCGTAGGAGTGGATCGATTAATGATGTATTCGTCGGCTTTGTTTGGACTTTATCAATATAAAACTGTCTTATAAGAACGGGGTGGAATTATTGAGTCGAAGGGAGTGACAAAAGAGGCTAAATTACGGATGATCATAGTGGCTCTACAAATCCTCGAAGATAGCTGTGTATGGAGTAGTGGGACATGTCTTTTCTATTACAACTTAAGGTGAATCGAAATAGTGGCAATAAGGAGATAAAGGCCTTATTATTAAGGTATGAGGAGGTGTTTGCTAAACCTAAAACTTTGCCACTTGTGAGGATATTTGATCATAGAATCCCTCTTATACCAACAGTCGAACCAGTTAATATCAAACCCTACGAAGCTCTTTTGTGTATAAGGAAGAGATTGAGAAGTTAGTTAGGAAGATGTTGCATAATAAGGTCTTTCAACCTAGCTGCAGATCCCTTTGCATTTCCAAGTATTGCTAGTGAAGAAGAAAGATGAAACTTGGAGGTTTTGTGGATTATCAACAATTGAACAACATCACAATTAAAAACAAATTCCCAATACCTCCGATTGATTATTTGTTAGATGAGTTGCGTGGTTCAACATTCTTTTTCAAGATCGACTCGTGTTCGGGATACTATCAAGTTAGAATACATGAGGCAGGCATAGAGAAGACAACCTTTAAGACCTACAAAGGTACTATGAATTCAAAGTTATGTCATTTGGGTTAACTAATGCTCCAACTACATTCCGAGCCATGATGAAATCAATCATAGAACCGTATTTGAGGAAATTTATTCTTCTCTTCTTCGATGACATTTTGATATACGACCCTACATTGGACTCACACATTCATCATTTAGCTAGGGTGTTAGAAGTGTTGTTGAGGAACAAATTATACGTTAAGAGGTCTAAATGCACATTCCGTCATACTTAAGTGGAGTACTTGGGACACATTATCTCGGGAGTAAGAATAATTACTAACTCGAGGAAGACGAAGCTATGACTAGATGGCCAATTCTAAAGTCAGTGAGGGAATTAAGGGTTTTTTTTTGTTTAACTAGCTATTATAGAAAATTTATTCGTAACTATGGTCTAATCAGTAGACCACCGATAGACTTGTTGAAAAAGAATGGCTTCCATTAGAATGAGCATGCTCGTGAAGCCTTTGAACAATTAAAGGCAAAGTTGTGTGCAACACCGATATTAGCTTTACCAAACTTCCACAAACCTTTTGTTTTGGAAATAGATGTTCGTGGCAGTGGTGTAGGAGCG